CCCCGGGCACGCGCTCTGCGCTCCCACTGGCTGGGAACCTGCTGCCCCCACAAAGCCAGCATCCCCTCCTGCACCCCAACGCTCCGTCCTGCACCCCAACGCTCCGTCCTGCACCCCAACGCTCCGTCCTGCACCCCAACGCCCCGTCCTGCAGCCCGCACGCCGGACATGTTCTGTCAGGTCGTGGCATCAACAATTTCCTTCAGCTGGGTCATGAGAAAAAGAAGTTTGCAAAGCTCTGCTGTATGCCCATGGGGAAGCGGGGAGGTGTTTGTCACACCCGGACCCCCCTGCCCTTCCCTGCTCTGTCGTACGCCCCACGTTCTCCCGCTGAGACTCAGCCGCCTTCGATTGTTCCTGAGCGATTTCGCTCCCCTTCTCGCAGCTGAGAATTGCTGGGCGCCCAGGGCTCAGAGCCGAGGGGAGGTCCGTGCCTGGGTCAGGGCCAAGGGGTGGGGGTTAGTCTGTGCAGCGCGCTCGGGGCCGCGCTGTCTCGGCTGCTGCTGGCTCCCACCCTAATTCCTAGGTTTCTCCTCTTCGTTCCCGCTCCAGTCGGACCTGCTGCAGTGTCTTCAGTACCAGTTCTACCAGGTGTGTGCAAAGGAGCTGCCATGGATTGAGGGGGTGGGAGGGGGGGCTAAGATTCCCAGTTCCGATCCCCCGAGAAAATATCCCTTCCTCTCCTGCGGGAACAGGACCCAAGCCAAACCCCCCTGGTATCCGTGGGGGTCCAGTGGGCTTTGTGCTGGCGTGGGCTGCAGCCTAGAGTCAGCCGCCTTCCCTGGGAAAGCGGAGCCGCTCAAGGCTTCAAAGGCTGGGCCAGTTCCCCACGCGTCCCTGAACATCTGCTGTGAGCCAGGAGGGGCAGGAACGCAAGCCCCGTGCTCTGGGTGTCCGGAAGCCTCTGACTGCCAGGGACACTCCAGGCCCATTCTGTTGGGTCGCGCATCCACAATTGCCTTCCACGGGGTCATGAGAAAACCGGTCTCCGTGGATCTGACCCAGCCTGGCCGTTCCCTGCCCCGGCCTGTGCAGCCTGTGGCAAGGTCTCCCTCTGGGAATGCAGCCTGGGCCGGCTTGGAGAAGTTTTCCAAGAGGCGGCCAGCAAATCCGGCGCGGCCTCGGGCCGAGCCCCGGGTGGCCAGCCTCTCCCTGCTGGCCCCCAGTGGCTGTCGGATGCCCAAGCCCCGTGCAGCCTTCTCCAGCATGGGGCTGTGTCTCCCCTTGCAGATCCCCGGGACATGCCTGCTCCCCGAGGTGACCCAGCAGGACCAGGGCAGGATCTGCGTGGTGATCGACCTGGACGAGACGCTGGTGCACAGCTCCTTTAAGGTGCCCCCGCATGTTTGCTCGGGGGAGGGTGGGCAGAGGGCGGCTGCTGATGGGAAGAGAGGGGGTAGGGGCAGGAAAATGCTTCATCCAGCTCTCATGACCCCTCCCAACTGGGGGCGTGTCTGGGGCTGGAAAAGGGCTGGGGCAGCCGGGGGGTGGGACTCCCCTGAGCACCTG